GTCCTGCACTCTGGTAAGTACAAAGGAATATTCTATATGTGGGAGGGATTTGAGGAAGGTTGAAGCAAGGACATTAGGCTTTCTGGAGCTGAGGGTTATTAAGTTAGGGAGGTAACAGATAAGTAGGGTGGGGTAAGTGGAACACTGGGAAATCCAGGCCTGAACTGTGTCATTACATTTGAGTCAGCCTGATGTTGTTCAAAGAATGTAACTATTGGAATTAGCCCAGAATTTGATGTCTTATGACTCTGCTCAAACTCATCAGTGGCTTCCCACAGCATTAAAATATAAAGTCCTGACACCAGTTTACAAGGCCCTATATAACCTGTCTCCCTACCACCTCTGTGGCTGCTTCTCTTACTGCTTGCTCTTGCTCACACCAAGCACTCTTGCCTTGGGAACTTTGAACTTGTTACTCCTTCGGTCTACTAGGCTCCTCCCCTGATACCTGCATGTTTTGAGCTTTTCCTTCCTTTAAGATGTCTGCTCATAGCCACCTATCAGTAAAGTCTTCTTTGACTACCCTGTCATTTTATTCCTTACCTGACTGTATTTGTTCTGTATAGCACTTATCACCACCTGTTATATGTTTGTTTGTTATCTCCTTTTCTTTGACTGTAAGCTTGAGAGCAGGTGTCCTTTAAGACTGAGAGCAGCGGTTCTCAACTTGTGGGTCACGACCCTTTGGGGGTCGCCTAAGACCATCGGAAAACACATAAATATTTCCCGACATATAATTACATACTGTTGATTAATCACTGTTTTAATTATGTTCAATTTGTAACAATGAAAATACATCCTGCATATCAGATATATACATTATGATTCATCACAGTAGCAAAATGACAGTTATGACGTAGCAACGCAAATAATTTTATGGTTGGGGGTCATCACAACATGAGGAACTGGATGAAAGGGTCATGACATCAGGAAGGTTGAGAACCACTGACATAGAGTTACGTGAGTGAATGAGTTCTGTAACTTCCATAAGGCTCAGTTTGCTCACATGTAATATTGGGATGATAATATTTTAAAAAGGGGTTGAGATACCTAACCCAGTATGTAGCACTTAGTAAGTGCGTAGGAAATGCCAGTATCTTGCCTTCTTTTAGAAATAATTTGTATGGCTGGCCAGTTAGTTCCCATTTGACTTAAGTAAGAAGGAAATTTTCCCTGTTAGCAGTAAAGAAAAATGATTATTTTTATCTTCCTTAATGCTGCTGTAGCAGAATGCTGTAACTCTGATGCTAACGTTTTCATATAGAACCATTAATCTTTAAGTAACTCTCACTTAATAAGATAGATATAGTTTAGGAAAGTTTGTCAAATGGCAAATTTTTATTCAAGTGAATCCTACATTTTCCTTATAAAATTGGAGTTAAATTTTTGCTGGAAAAACATGTTGCCAAGATAAAGTCATAATTTGAAGTGCTGCAGACCTAAATATGCTTGACTAGGCATGCTTGCTTTGCAGCACCCATACGAACTGGTTTTGGAAAAGATAGAAGAACTGATTTTGGCTGTGGGATAAACATGCACACTGCCAAGGACCGGGGTATTACTTTCTGCTTAGCAGTAGGGTCGTCACAATCAGTCACTTTGAAGATTTTGCTTCGTCATAGTTTCATATCAGATTTAGGGCTACTAGTTACCAAGAAACCAATATTCAGTAAACTTTTAACTCACCTTTTTACTATTGTTTTGGTGACCAGGCTAGGAACAATGGTATGCTTGTGACCCCAAAATTGTTATAACGTGAATTAGAACAACTAATTTGAATTTTCTTTGCAGAAATTATACATAGTAGAGCATACACCAATTCCACAATTCTTTCATGTACAGTTTGATGACACTGATTCCATTCCTTTCCTGGAACAACTCATTTTCAAATTTCAGAATTCTAATAAGGGAGGGTTTTTCTTTCCATTGGATGTAGGTGGATCTGTGGATATGGAGGGGCTTCAAAAAGTCCATGGAGAAATAGAATGAAAAATTAGTGGAATTTTTCTAATAACTTTTTGAAGACCCCTTGAGTTATACACACACTGATGCATGATGCATTGGTTCTTCCTTTCTTTCCAGCTAAGCTGCTCCTACAGCGGTCTGGTGTCACAAGGAAAGTTGTTACATTCGTCCAGAGAGGGTGAGAAAGGCCCATATAGCAGGGGGTACCCCCCAAAACCAGAAAAAGGGCCACTGGGCGGAACTTTTGTAGTACGCATTTTTCCCTGCTAGGTGAGCATTGGACAACTTGCTCTGAGTTAGTGCACCCAATGGCATGGCCTGGGAAGATTCTCTCTGATCATACAGAATTTTTTTCATGAGAGCAGTTTCACTTGATCCTAGTTTTTTGTGATGACTGATTTAAGAGAACAGCGTAAGGCTGCGAAATTTTGTTTCCTGCTCAGGAAAAATGCCACAGAAACTGTTGTAATGTTGAGGACAGCGCTATGGGGAAAACTCAAGTGTTCGAGTGGTTTTCTCATTTCAAAAAAAGGGGAAATGTCGATTGATGACAAACCTCGTTTTGGATGTCAACTTCCCAAATGGAAGAAAATGTTGACAAAATTCGTGCACTTGTGCTTGAAGACCAATTGATGGACCATTGAAGAGATGGGGAAGTTATCTGGACTATCTTGGAGCTTGGTTCAGCAAATTTTAGCAGAAGATTTGGGAATGAGAAGGGTTGCTGTGAAATTTGCCCTCGGGTCCTGACTGACCAGCAAAAAGAGTGCTGAGTGGAAACATGCCGTGCTTTGAAAGAACAGCTCTGAAGGGACCCAGACTTTTTTTCCAAGGTCATTACTGGTGATGAGACTTGCTATTCTTAAGACCCTGAAAGCAAACATCAATCAAGCCATGAACACTTTATACCCCCCAAAACTCATCTAGTGAAATCAAAGATCAAGACGATGCTCATTTGTTTTTGATGTGAGGGGGATAGTGCATTTGGAGTTTATTCCACCAGGTCAGACTGTTAGTCAAGCTTTCTATTTAGAGGTTCTGAAAAGATTGAGTAACTGGGACAAAAAAGGCCTGATTTTTGGCAGACGGGACAGGTTTTGCCACCACGACAATGCACCTGCTCACACAGCCATCTCAGGGTGCCAGTTTTTGGCAAAAAGCAGCATGCCTCTCTTGCCCCAAGCACCTTACTCACCTGACCTTGCTTTTTGTTTCTGTGAAGATGGACATGAAAGGACAGCGATTTGAAGCAGAAGAGGTGAAGAAAAAAACAAGGGAGGTGCTGTCAGCCATTCAAACAGATGGGTTTGAAAAATGTTTCCAAGAATGGAATCGCAGATTTGACAACTGTATTATGTGTAATGGAGAGTATTGTGAAAGTGATAAGGTTGTTTTGTAAAAAAATTTAAATATATAGCTTTGGAGGTGGGGGGAATTCTGGGTTTTTTATGGGGGGGGTGCCCCCCTTCGTACTTACTGCATTATGTTATCCCTCCTGAAGTTCTAGTGAAACTTGAAGATAGGGTGTCTCCTTTGGTCACCTGTGTATGCTCAGCTATGTATAATAAAAGACAATGGACATGCTTAAAAAGCAAGTACACAAGCTCCCTTCCACCTAAGAAATCATGCAATTGAATTACAACTTCTCTAAATGAGTGGTGACTGAACGACTTTCCCCTTCCCACTGCTCTAGCCACCAGAGAAACAACAGGAGAAAGCAGAACACCGAAGAGTTAAGGTTCCCTATTTTTGTTGCAGAAATCAGTGAGAAGCAGGGGTATTGAGGCCCCTTGGCAGGCTGATTTGCATTATAATTTTCCCTCCTCATTGACAGATGACCAGTTCCTCTGGGCCTTTGCTTTCCTGGTCTAGGTATGTGGGTTTAGACATCCAGGATTCACACTCGGAAATTCTGGGGTTTGAGTGTGACCATTTCTAGTCTTAGCAGCACATCTAGGAAAAAGTTAGCTAACCAATACTGGACACTTGCCTGTATCATGATGTACATAGTAGAGTTGAAAAAACACAGACATTGTCATCTGGTATGGCTGAAACTGAATTTTGACCCTGCTACTTACTTTTATTTAAAGATCATTTTATTGGGGGCTCTTACAACTCTTATAACGATCCGTACATCAGTTGTATCAAGCATATTTGTATATGTGTTGCCTAGACATTTACTTTCTATTGAGCCCTTTGTATCAGCTCCTCCCCAACCCCCTGGCCCCACTACTTATTAATTAAACCACAATCATTGCCATCAAGTTGAGTCTGACTCCTAGTGACCCCATAGGAGGGAGTAGAACTTCCCTTGTGGGTTTCTGAGATTATAAATCTTGATGTGAGTAGAAAGCCTTATTTTTCTCTATTGGCAGGGCTGGCAGTTTCAAATGACTGACCTTGGGGTTAGTAGCCCAACTCATAACCTCCTATTCTACCAGAGCTCCTTACTTATCAATTATACACTCTTATGTAAGATATTTCTCTCCAAACTTATTTTCTTATCTGCAAAATGAAGATATGTCTGTCTACTCAGACTTTGTTGTGAAAATTAATAAGATAACATATACAAAACTCCTAATGTAGTGCCTTGACACATAGAGGTACTCAATACATGGTAACTTATTATTAATAATACAATTGCCTTTTTAAAGATGTTTTCTATAGGAAACTTTTTGTGTATTATTAGGTTTATATTTTGTATTGTTGCTAACATACTTGGTCTCAAGTTCCTTTCAAAGATACAAACACTTTTTAGCCAATTGGGGGCAGAGATGTGGGAAATGAGCGAGTTCTTTGGAGGTGACTTAAAAGCAAGCCCAAATCTACCACCCTCCACTTTGTGACATAGTTATCTTCATGAGAAAGGCCAGCCTTGCCCTTAGTTTTAGGGGACATGTATTTGCAAAGGTTTTGGTCACACCAAGATTTCTAGTAGCTGCATCTATTTGTTCAGGATGTCGAAAGACCAGGGCTCAGAGAGAGTCCTCGGTGATTGTGCTTTTCTTTAAAGGAAGTCTTTTTCCCCCTCTCAGCTGCTCAGATGAAGAATTTGATGAGCCAACTAGGAACTAAGCAGGACTCCAGCAAGCTTCAGGAAAATCTGTGAGTAGCTTCCAGGTTGGGTTTTGGGAGGGCCCTTGAAGGACACCCTTAATGGTCGTACTACGTGGCTCGCCTTAGGTTTCAGGTCTCCATGAGGTCAGAATGAGTGAGAGGCAAGAGGACCTGAGGTCATAGCTGAATCTAGAAGTGGAGCAACAAAATATATTGATGAGTTGTCATGTCTACTGACTCTCAAACGCTTCTGGTTCGTCCTTCCCTGAGGCAGTTTAGCAGAAGGTTTTAGCGAAGGTGAGGAAGGAACTCCTACTCTGTCTCTCTTGCCCATGACTCTTCCTAAACGAGCCTCTTTGTTGGCATAGGACGCTTAATGATCTATAGTGCTGATCTGATCGAGGTAGAAATACGTAGTATTAGAAAACTTTATTCAGAACGACCCCAAGGGAGATTGAAGGACTCCTGGTTCTTTTTATCACAACCTTTGACTACATTTCTGCTGTTAGAAGTTCTGATCTTCGTCTCTCAAATATCCAGAACAGTTTTCTACCTCTGACATTGTGAACTGAGAGAGTGATGGTATCACTTGCGCCTTGTCCAGGGAAATGTGAAATATGAAAACAGAGACTTTTAGTATAGTCTACCATGTTCAGGCTCCTGGTTAATGCTCCATTAAAATGACATCCTTAAAAAAAAATCCTGGATGACTCATTGCAGTAAAAGAAGCATTCGTTATTTGTGGTGTGTTGTCTGTCTTCCCTTGAAGCCTTTGCAGAAAGGGCCAGAGGAGAGGAGAAACCACGATTGATAGGAGTTCTTTTTATACTTCTGCAATATTCCAATCCCACGCATATGTTACATATTCCTTCTTTAAGAGCCTTCCCTCCCTGCTGCTGCATTTTTAAAGAACATGCAGCTACTTTGTTTTAGAGGAAAGAGCCAGAAAGTGAAGCATAAAGGGCAGGTATAGAGCCAAGAATAACATTGAAAAAGAAGGAGCTTTTAGCAAGAATGTGGGAGTAGGTCTTTGACGGTTGTTCCCCAGGGTGGGAAGCTAGGTTTGTAATGTGCACTCCACCCTCCCCCAGTGCCAGGATTCCCTCTAGCTGTGAAACGTGACGGACACTAGCCATGCAGAAGTCCTGGGCAATCTGTGAGAGTTCTGTGTTCAAACTCTTAGGGTGGCTGACCGTCTTCTGTTTCTATCAGAACTGCTGATACTGCATTTCTTTTCTCCCCAAAGAGTGAGAATGCCTGGTCTGTGCTTCCGTCAGCAAGCTTTCTTGAGGCGGGTTTCTCTTCTGTAATGTGAAGCTATCTTGAAGTGGGTTTTGACTGAGCAGGATTTCTGGAATTTTGTTGTGAACCTGAAGCATCTGGGAGGTCATTCTTCAAATACCCTTTTATTTCCTGCTTTGTGAGACACTGAGAACAAAATTTTGCTGACTATCACAGGCCTCGGGAAGTGAGACTGTCCTGAAAACTGTCTTTCCTTTCTTAGGCAGCAGTTACAACACTCTACAAATCAGCTCGCCAAGGAAACAAATGAATCGCTGAAGGAATTAGGGGCCTTGCCCCTTCCTTTATCTACTTCAGAACAGGTTGGTATTTTCACTTTTTTTTTTAATAGGAAAGAACTTTTAATGGAAAGGCAGTATGTAGAATGGCTATAACTTGGCCTTTGGTGCTAAGTAGACCTTCTAAGAACCTGTTTTCTTATCTGTAAAAGGTGGGTTATGTGACTGTTGTGATAATAGAGAGGATGTATTTACCTAATATAACAAAGACCCTGGGATTTAGAAGATCCCCAGTACATGGTGGCTGCTACTGCTGTCAGTATCTTGTTTATAAGTTAATCCAAACTCCAAACTCACTGCTGTTAATTCCAACTCAGAGCAACCTTGTAGGACCAAGTAGGACTGCCTCTGTGTTCCCAAGGCTGTAAATCTTTACAGGAGCAGAAAGCTGCTTCTCCCTCCCTTGGAGCAGCAGGAGGGTTTGAATTGTCAACCTTGTGATTAGCTGCCCGATGTATAACCATTATACCACCAGAGCGCCTCAATAAATTAATAAATGGGTTTAAGTTGTTTACATCTTTTGAGGTTTGGCTAGCAGCGTTGTGCTTACAGGCTTACTCCTAGTTTGTAGTCCTATCACAGTCAACCAAATATTTTTATATTTGCAGTCACAGCCATGTCCCTTCCGGAATCATCATAGGTCTCAGATCGATGAAATACTAAGGTGGGGAGTGGGGGGGTGTCATTTTTTTCAAACAATTTTATTCAGTGCACAGTTATAGCCTTTAAAAACACAATTTCTACTGGACTTCTTTGTTTCCTTAATATGCCAGGCCTTTTCTTCACCCTGAAGTCAGACTTATTTCTTAAAAGTGGCTTAACTCATTTATCTATCTTTATGGCCTACCTCAAACTCTCTCTTTCCCAGGGAAAAATAAAAAGATCCTTCCCATCCAGCTTAGGCTCTTGTGACTACGTTGTACTTTTAGCTTCTGTACTAGACTGCACTTACCATCTAGTGACCTTTTTTTAAAAAAGGCAATACTTTGTTTCCCTGATAGCGCTGAAGCGGAATCGTACAATGTCTCTGTCCTGGGTTATTCAGGTTAGGGTTTGAGACCTGTTGGAACACTAGCGCATTTAAATTGTTGTGTTCGCCATTTTGATATAAAACTCCCATATCATACACTTCATAGTTAAGTCACTTTTAAGAAGAATTGTATATACATCATCTCAATCAGCTCTAGGGCACCATCCCCTCTCCCATATTCATTATTTGCTCCTCTTTCTCCTCATCCTCCCCATCCCCAGTAAACAATTACATCAGTTAGTGTCTCTATGCATCCATTCCTTCTGTATTTTATGAGCTGGGAAACATAATAGAAACATTATAAAACAAATGAAGTAGAGTAGAAATATCAGTGTGTGAAGTATGTAATAAGGGAAAATATTGTTTCATGAAACATTTGTTTAATAAATATGTACACGTGTAGCCTTAAGTCAGGGGTGTCAAACTCAGTTAAAACGCGGGCCATTTGGTGCACAGGCAAGATTCATGCGGGCCACATCACATTTACAAATTTTGTTAAATTTATATTTTGAAGTGAGGATTCAGGAATATGAATAGGATAATTAAAATACTTGCTTTCATTTAAACATTTATTTTTAATATGTTTATAAAACTACAGCTGACAAACGTGATGCGGAATCGTAATGGCTTCCCTCTAAAAATGTTAACTAGCGCTGCTGCTAGGTACGATTCATAACAGCACAACCCAGAGTGCTCTTGTTAAACTTTTTGCTATTGGGATTTTTACATTACGTGACACTGAGAGTGGCAGACACACATCGCTTCCAAACGTTGCCAGAATTGAGTCGGTGCGTTTATACACGTCCCCAGCCCCCAGGAAAGGCACTGGGCCACGTGTATTCTCATTTTCGTAGTTAAAGGATTAACGAGGGAATTGTGTGTACGGTTTTGCCTTGATCTCCTCTAAGCACTAGTTTCTTCTTAACAATTTTTTTATATTTTTATTTTATCTCAGAGCATCGCAAGACCACAAAAAATTACCTCGAGGGCCGCATGCGGCTCGTGGGCTGCCAGTTTGACACTCCTGCTTTAAGTCATGGTGTTAAATTCTCATTATGAGTCTGCTGAAAAACTTGAAACTCACTTGTTTAACCCATACCTAGCAAGCCCAGGTTCAGCCTTTCAAGTTTTGGTGCTCCTCTGCACGAAAGGGAGGAACAAGTTGCTGCTGAATTCTGGGAAAGATGAATAGAGAACGGATGCTTTGGTATCCTGCTACAAAGTAATTATGATTAAAAAATAGTTTTAATGTAATCACCTTTTGGTTGTTCACATGCAGAGTCTTTGTTTTAGTGGTTACTCATAGTGATATTTCAATTATGGGCCAGTTCCCCTTGCCATCTCATATTATTAGATTGCTCCCAAATTTCCCTTTTTCCTCTCCCTAACTGAATGGAAGAAACACACACTTGTTTACAGTTTAATTAGTAATAAAAAAGGAGTCTGAGAGTCTAATGTAGAGTACTAAAAGTACTTCAGAATTAAATAGTCTAAGCAAAATATAAATAGAAAGTGAAATCTGATACAAAGAAAAATATGCATCTAATGTGTTCCCAAACCAAATAGAAGTTATTTTTGGATTTGCATGCTATTGATCCTTTCCATTAGCTTGGCTCATTAACATGAAATAGAACTACAAACATAGACTCTCCTACTGGGAATACCTTTTCCCTTTCAGTTGTTTCTTCATCTAAATAACCTTGGCCGTATTGCCCAGCTTTTCCTTATTGTCATATACATCTGATTGTTTCATACTCAGTTCACACTTACGTATTAGCATCAGTGATCTTCCAGTAGCCAGATCCAGAAGACTGAGTTTTTACTCACTTTTCTTCTCTGTTTCATTTGATTCTCTTGCCCATCCTGTCTTTATGGAAGCTTTTTTTCTCTTTCCATAATTCTGTCCCCCAATTTTGGTGTTCTTATACTGGCCACTTTTTCTCTTACCCTCCGTGGAGTCTCAGCCTCCTCTCTGGTCCTATACCTTCTTAGAAATGGGCTTGCCCTAAGGTTCTACCGTTGATCTTCTAGTTTTATCATTCTACTGCTTTTTCCTTAGAAGTCTTGCCTACTTCTATGAGCATGACTCCTATATCTTTCCCCAACCCTAGCCTCTAAATTTAGAATCTTTGGGCCCTGTTGTCAGTTCCTATTCTGACATGTCCTCTTGAATCGATAGCCTTCATCTGAAATATAATGTGTCTTATGATATGTTTCACTCAAACCCTTTAAGCTGACTGATTATATTTGTCGTTTGAAAAACTGTGTGCCTTTTGACCTACTATTCCCTCTCAGACACATTTTTCCGAAGTACAGACATTCTGAAGGAAAAACAACACCACAACCACACTATATGTATTCTAGAACCTATGTAATGTCTTTTCTTTTTTTCAACAGTTTTATTGGCACATAATTTACATATCATATAATTAATAGTTCAGTAATTTCTTGAAATTAAATACCACTTCTGTTTCTTACTTGTGACCCAGGGGAAATGACTTATCCTCTATGGGCCCTGGCTTTCTTTCTTTCTTTTTTTAAAAATCATTTTATTAGGGGCTCATACAACTCTCATCACAATCCACACATACATCAATTGTGTAAAGCGCGTTTGTATATTCATTGCCCTCATCATTCTCAAAACATTTCCTCTCCACTCAAGCCCCGGCACCAGGTCCTCATTTTTCCCCTCCCTCCCCGCTTCCCCCTCCCCCATGTTGGGCCCTGGCTTTCTTATCTGTAAAATAGGGATATCACAACTCAGTTAAATGAATTCTTCAATGAAGTGAGTACTCGTACATTATGAGCACCATGTACGTATCAGCTATTTATAGTGGGGTTCACTTTAGCTTGATTTATAATAGTTTACTAGATAAACTTGATAGACTGTTATCACAGCGACCATCCAGTCAGTTCTCACTTGGCGACCGATAGGACAGTGTAGGACCGCTCCTTGGGGAATTCAAGGCTGTAAAGCTCTATGGGAGCAGCAGACAGCCTTGTTTTCCTACCACAGTGCTGATTAAGTTTGGTTAATAGGTGAACACTTAACCTACTGCACCACACGGACATCTTTGATGGAATATTATGTAGTAGTTAAAGACGATAATTTTGAAGGTATGGCAACATGGGAAATGGTTGTCATGGACTTAAAAGATTGAATTTTTCCATGGTAAAAATGGGAAATAAGATTTTTTCCCTTATTATTGTCCTACTGTTGTTTATGCAGCACACAAAAGTTCTAGCAAGAAAATGTGTATGTCACAATATTCCTCTGGTTCTTTGAGGCATCCTCACTGCCCCCAACTATCATGACCCCGGTCCTGCCTTTCACTTCTGGCTAGATCAGAGCATGTGTACTGGTACAGATAAGAGCTTATGACACACAGAATCTAGGTCAGATAAACCCCTCAGGAACAGAAATGGGAGTAGTGATAACAGAAAGGTAAGGGGAAAGAGAGGAGAAAGGGAGAACTGATCGTACTGATCAAAGCATTAACACCCTCCCTCCCCCACCCAGGGGGATGAACAACAGAAACATGAGACAGGGTAGATGTAAGATATGAAAATAATAATAGTCACGAGCATGGGGGTGGTGGGAGAGGAGCTGATACCAAGGACTCAAATAGAAAGTAGATGTTTAGAAAATGATGATGGCAACCTATGTACAAATATGCTTGACACAATTGATGGATGGGATGTTATAAGATCTGTAAGAGCCTTCAATAAATTGATTAAAACAAAAGAAAATGTGAATGCATTTTTTTAATGGAAAACTTATTTGCTCTCTAAACTTTCACCCAATTCACAATAAAAAGCTAAAAATCAGAGGAACAAAGTCAAACTCCTGGGAAGATAACAGGTTCCTTATCTAAACGTGCTGTTAGCATTGCCGCCATTCTCATGGGCCTAAAAGCTGGGGCGCCACTGACTTCATCCCTGTTCTTCCACAGCCAGTCACAAAGGGCGTGCTTTTAAATTCCTTTCCTGCGTTCCCATTGCTAATAACACGTGCACCTAACTTTAAATCTAGAATACTGCATAATCTTTTTGACGTGTCTCTTTTCCCCTATTCTATTTCATACCTTGTCACAGATTAATCTTTCTCAGTTACCTTTGTTTTTATTATAAAGATAAAACTCCATGGATTTTTAAAAAACAATCTTATTGGCATATAATTCACAAATCATACAGTTCATTAGTTCATCAAATTAAGAAGTCTTGTGCAATCATCCCGACAATCAATTTTAGAACATTTTCTTCCTTCTTGCACTCACTGTTATCAGCTGCCCATCTCCCCCAACCTCCCCTGCCATACCCCCAAGGAGACCTTCACCCAGCTACTATCCCTATAGATTTACCTGGCCTGGATTCCATATACAGAAAAAACATTTAGGAACAAACAAAATAAAGCAGAGAAAAAATTCTCAATAGAAATGAAAGTAGAAAATATTAAAAATGGGGAAAAATGGGTCAAAAGGGAGATCAAACGATAAGGTGTTAAATGTTAACCTATCCACAAGAAACCACTTTGTAATGCATTCTGCATGGTTGCAAGGTTTCCTCCGCCCTGGTCTGTGGTAGGAGGGCATTTACCAGAGGCTTAATCCATGTGTATTTCCCCTTTACTTTTTAAAAAAAATGGAAACATTGGTTACCATTGATGTGTACCCATCAGGTTCCTTGTTCTTTGTTCATTAGAGGTTGAACTTCAAACTCATTAGTTTGACACTTATGACTTGGCTATGGTTATTTCCTTGCATGCCTTTTACTTTCCAGTTTTAATCATACGACTAAAACTTTGGATCCAACCAAATTTTTTCCTTAGATAGCTTTCTGATTTCTACCCCTTACCTTTGCACCAGAGCGCTCTAGTGGCTTATGAGTTGGTCTGCCAACTACAAGGTAAGAAGTTCAAAACCAACTGCTCCATGGGAGAAAGGTCTCGGAAACCCACAGGGGCAGTTCTCCCTTGCCCTGTAGGGTCTCCATGAGTTGGCATTGACTCAATGGCAGTGAGTGAGAGTACCTTTGCTCAGTCTGTTCTTGCTTGGATTCGCTTATACATGTTGGTGCCTTATTCTTCCTTTATTGTATATCTCCTTTTGACACTTTCCCCATCACTTGATTGTTTCTGTCTCTGAACTTCTATAATACTAATTGGGTAAATACTTATTAATTAATGATTTTATCGCTTTTATATCTACATCCTCTCTCTACGCGCAGATGGTAAGTTGTTCTAAGGTAGGGATGATTCTTTATTTCTTTGTTCTCACAAACAGCAAATGCTCTCAGTTTGTGTTTGTTGAGACTTAGAGCAACAGCTTGGTAAAGGTAACGTGTAGATATATGAAATAGACTATGTATACAAAGTTATTTTCAGGTTCTCAAAAGATTTTAAACCTCACTACATTGAAAAAGAATATTATTCAATGGTTTTCAAGAAAATTAAACTCAATGTAGAAGACTATAGTTTCAATATTTTAGCAAAAAACTTATCTCCATTTGGGTCCAAAAATATTTTGTTTTTTGAGTCTCTAGGTAACAAGAATTCTGAATTTCTAATTTGATTGCCTAACAAGATAAAATCATACCAGTTTCCAGGTTTGTCAGGGAAAAAGAAGGAGAACACCGACTTGCCGATAGTATTAACTAGAAACTTGAGTTAGCAAAGAACAAATTTATTGATTTAAGAGAGAACCTATTTCATAGTGATTTTGTAGCTGGCACTCCTAGAGGTCAGAATTTTATATTTAGTGATTGAATGATTCCCGGTTACTGTGAAATTCCATGTCTTATTTAATTTACTGTCTCAGCGCCAACAGAAACTTCAGAAGGAACGGCTCATGAATGACTTCTCTGCCGCCTTAAACAGTTTCCAGGGTGTGCAGAGGAAGGTGTCTGAAAAAGAAAAGGAGAGTATTGCCAGAGCAAGAGCTGGATCTCGCCTTTCTGTAAGTTGTTCCCTTGCAAAAGAAAGCAAGACCTATGTAATTTTAAAATGCTCTTCCCAGGTTTTTTGTTTTGTTTTCCTACCTGGCCAAGAGCCTTTGTTCATTATCACCCCAAACAATAAATGTGCACATCACCTGTCTGAAAAGCAGAGAGTACTGCTATAAACCTCCAAAAAATATGTCTGCATATGGCCAAAGACTGGAAAGAAATTCTCACAAAGATTGAAAACCACAAGTAGAATTATGTGTACCTTTGGTTTGCATTGCTATATCACACACCCAAAGTAAACGTGTGAGCAGAGCTTCCAGGCGAAGAACAGATCACAAAGAAGGAGTAGGGTGTCCACTTCAGAGAACTTAGCCACTGAAAATCTTATGATAGCATTGAAACATTGTCAGTTACTGAAAACCTCAGGAGTACAAACGAAACATTGTCAGATGAGCTCCCAGGTCAGAAGGCACGCAAAATATGACTAAAGTTTGACTGAGGAAGAGCTGCTTTCTCTAAGTAAAGTTGACCATAATGATGTGGATGGAGTAAAGCCTCGGGACCTTCCTTTGCTTCGTGGGGCACAACTCACAGTGAGAAGAAACAGCTGTAAGCATCAATTAAAAATGGGAACTTGGAATATATAAAGTATGAATGTAGGAAATTTGGCAGTTGTCAAAAATGAAATGAAGCGCATAAAGATTATTATTCTAGGTGTTTGTGAGCTGACATGGACTTATCCTAGACAATTTGAATAGAAAATCTTATGGTTTACTGTGCCAGGATTGACGGATTCTAGAGGAATGATGCTGTTCATCATCAGAAAAGATATTTCAAGATCTAAAAGTACAGTGTTGCCTGTGTTAGGGTAAACTAGTTAAACTAGGGTAGATTAGGGAAATCTAATCAATAAAACAGTTATTGAAATTAATGCGCCAGACTCTCTCAACACTTGAACTGACCACAACAGCAACAGGAAAAAATTCACATATAAGTGGGCTCGTGCAGTTCAAATACAGTACATCTTGGTCAAGAATCAACTCTGGGTTATACACAGATTTTTCGACTGCCTGGTATGTTATGCCTCTAACCTCCACATTGCTCAAGGGTCAACTGTATTCAGACTGAGGGCTAATTAAAGACATTTAATCAAAAGAGAGTTTGCTATCAGTACACCATACTAAAAGATTCTAAAGGCTATGCTTTACTCAGAAGGAAAATAAATATGAATGGCGAGTGTGAGAAGCAGAAAGGAGTAAAGAGCAAGGAAATGATAAAAATGTTAAAAAAGAGGTATAAACAAAGAGAAAGTATTACTGTATGTCTAACAATTATTCAGAATGTATCCAGAATTGTCATAAATCAATATGAAAAAGACACAACCCAATAAATAACAGTTCTGAAACTTTTTTCTCAGGCCATCATTCTCTTCTAAAAATTATTAAGGACCCCAACAAACTTTTGTTTATAGAGAATATAGCTATTGATAATTACTGTACTAGAAATTAAAACAGAACTGTTTCATGATTAATATTAAAAGCAGTAATAAATATGATTTGGTATCATAAACATAAATTACACTTTAACTTTCTAAAACCAAAACTTATTGAGAAGAATGGCATTGGTTTATATTTTTGCAAATCTTTTTAATGTCTGGCTTCACAGCTGCTAGCTCGATTTTCATACCTGTTTCTGTATTCAGTCTATTGTGGTATGTTGATTTAGTTCAAATATCTGAAAGAAGATCCAGCCTCACAAAGATAAGTGGTTGGCCAAGAAGATAATTTTAATAACCTTTTTAGATCATTTTAATATTCTTTGATTCTGCAAAAAAACTTTGCTGAAGTTAGTTGCTTATTGTGAAATTTGAAACCATATTAATGAATTTTTCATTCCCATAACATTAGAATCTGTTGATCTAGCTTATCATTTAAGTGGATCTTTCATACATGCGTGATTTTATAGCATCATGTTGGTATCATTTGGAAAGTACTGGTTTTCTAAAAAATACTTGGTCTTCCATCTGTTGATATGTTTCGATATAAGAAATATATGCAGTATTTTTAAAAATCACATTTGGGAGTTTTACAATCACATTCATTAGAAGAATGCTTAAATTTGGGGAAACTTTCAGGTTCATGGTGGTAGAAAGACATTTTTCCATGATCCCTGAATCACTTGACAACTGTATTTATTTTTGGCAGTAAACACTATCAGTAGTTTTCCTTTAAATGACAGGCTTACACTGTCTATTTTAAAGACATTATTAGGCAAAGAAAAAAAAAGGTATTATTAGGAACCCATCTGAAATAACAGATTTGAGTCTATTTTTTCCCCTCTCTCACAATGGTGGGGGTCTGTTAGGGAATTAATAGGTTCCCATGGGTCAGGATCGGTTAGTAAACAGTAAGGACACAGTCACCGGTCCACAGTAACACTTTTCCTCAGCCATGATTATCGTTAATTCTGAGAAGTAAAAATGGTGTGCCAAGTGCTTTTCTTTGAGACGTCATACTTCTGTATGCAGCATACTGCTTCAGGTATACGCCCATTTCATCATGTAAAAGATTCAAAAGATATGTATTGAGAAATTAAGATTGAAAGAGTAATTTCGATGGATTCATGCAGGACAGACTAGCTTGGCTTTTGTTTTTACTGTGAATATGTGGCAGTGAAGGACCGCATGGACACTAATAACACTTGATTCGTGCTAAGGCACTCGATTGTTTTTGCACCAAAAGTACAATGTCAGAACAGTCTACAAACAAATCACATCTTATTACTTCAAATAATGATCAAACAAATAAAATGATGCCCAATTTCTAGTCGTGAAATTGGAAATTAAAATCCGAGTGTAGTACTATTCTATGTCCACAAGACTGGCAACATTTAACAGCTGAGCCCCAAGGGTAGTAGTTGTGGATATGCTTCAACAGGATCTCTTCTGTCTGGTTGGTGGTAGTCAAACTGGCACCACCATTTTGAAATATATTTTGATTCTATAGGGTTTTTAAAATTTTATTTTGCTTTGAGAAACGATGTACAAATGCGCTTTACACAATTGATGTGTGTATGGACTGGGATAACAGTTGTATGAGCCCCTAATAAAATGTTTTTAAAAAAATAAAAAAAATAAATGCAAAAATTTTTTTTATTTTGCGATATTTATGTATTTATTGAAGTTTTATTGACAATTCATATAACATGCAATTTTAGTAGTTCGGTTATATTAAAAAGAGTTGTACAATCATCCCCATAGTAAATTTTAGGACATTTTCTTGTACTTATTATTTTTAGCTCCCCATTTCCCCCCAACTTCCCCTGCCACACCTTCAAGGAACCATTATTCCAGTTACTCTCTTTACAGATTTATCTATTCTGGATTTCATATACAAAACAACATACAGGGGGAAAAAATTCCAACAAGAATAACAGAGGAAATCAGAGAAAAACTTTAATAAAAAAGGAAGCAGAAAATATTAAAAGCTAGAACAAATTTGAAATGGGTCAAAGGGCGATCAAATGATGGTGTTAAAATTTAACCTAACTGTATTTGCAGTCAGGTAGAGTGTTCAGCCATCCGATCAAGGCCATCACATGCTGGTCCCTATATGCTGGATCAGGTTTGGGTCTCTTGCAGAAGGAGCTTTACATGTGTGTGATCATAAAGGATGCAACTAAATGACCCATATACTCCGTCATTCACATAGAACAGAAAGATCTGTTCATTTGATTCATTTTCACCATCTGAGCCTGTTTGCTCCTTTAACACAAGCTAGCAGTGCTATTTACAGCAAAGGTGAAAGCTGATGTGCCATAGTACCTGGCTGGCCCAGCTATGTAGAAAAATACCTTTCCAGTGCTGGATTGATTACACTGGTGGTCTCTACACATTTAAGCTTCATATCCTCTGATCCAGGAAAGCCAGCACCATTCTCCATTAGATACATATTGAAACCAACCCCAGCTCCTGTGTCAAAGACACAGTGGGCATCAGACATTGCTTGCACGAAGCTATCAGGGGCAATACAACCACTTCCCACAGGGAAGTCGATACCAGTGACATCATCACTTAGCTCTTTAGCCATTTCCAAAAGAGTCATGCTTATTTTGAATGTGACCCCAAATATAACAGAGGTGACAGATGGCTTTAAAGTCATTGGTGGCAATCCACAAAACCATCCTTGTCTTTGGATGCGCCTTGGCCACTTGCATTGTTAGTTCAACCTCACTGTCTGAAGTCATCATCTGAACTCCGTTACTGACAGCATATTTGATTTCGGATACTTGCTTACAAGGATTTGCATAGACTATTTTCTCTGGAGGCACACCGACACTACACCAATTGTGCTTGCATCTCGCTTTATTGTCGTTGTTAGGTGCCGTTGAGTCTGTCCCAACTCATAGTAACCCTGTGTTCAATAGAGTGACACATTGCCCGTCCTGCAGCATCCTCACAATTGTCGCTATATTTGAGCCCATTAGGTTGCAGCCACTGTGTCAGTTCACCTTGCTGGGGGACTTCCTCTTTTTCACTGCCCCTCTGCTTTACCAACCAGGGACTGGTCTCTACTGACAATCTGTCCAAAGTACACGAGGCAAAGTCTTGCAAAATCCTGCCCCTATGACAGCTAGGGTCTTCACTGTGTCTCTGCTCTCATTCCATCTGACTGTGTCAGTGGAGGTGACCGTAGGTAAGAGCTCTTAACTACCGTAGATGTTTCTTTCAGATGTCTCCAAGGTCCACAACATAGAAGACATCTTCATTATATGAAGAAGATACTTTATTAATTTTTTGGTCCAGAATTCCCTGGGCAGTAAAACCATTATCAAGGAAATGGCGGTCCAACTCTTCATGACTAAAGTTCTTTATAGATTTCTTTATGTTCCTCTGAATTGCACCAAAATGGATAAGAGACAGAATTTAAAGGAATTATTTCCAGCTTTTCACAAAGGCAATTCTCCAGGAATTCCAAAGCCCACTGAATAGCAGAATATCGTAGTCTTGGTGTACAGGGGAAATGTTCTTAGTGTACACTGATGCTGTCGGCGAGCCCCGTGGAAATACTGCAGTGGGAGTTCAGGAGAGCGGCTAGGTACCCCAGGTGAAGTCTGCCACTTCCATCACATCCAGGCGGCCACCAGCCCATTTTGGAGAACTGCTGGCCTGAAGTGGTGCTGACGCTGTTGGCAGACCAGTGGCCATTGGTGGAGGTTAGAGGGGACTGATCCGCTTGGAATGTTTCTTTAGGATGCATGTACAAAGGGGCTTCAGAAAGTTCATGGAAATGGAGAATTGAGAGGTAATGGAATTTTTTCTTGAACTCTTTGAAGTATCTCTCCTTAGCTTCTCAATTTGTAGACCACGGAGTATATGTATAAATGTTGAGAGCATCAATATTAATGGTAGTAAAAAATTGGAAACATATAGGTGTCCATCAACAGTGGAATGGATAAAAATGTGGCCTAGTTACATGCTATATTATTTTACAGACAACAAAAGAGCAAACCACAGTTATAGTCATTGTGAGGGATGGGTCTGGCATTATTTGGATGGATCAGAACAAAATAGAGCCCTCAGTATAATTCCATTTATGTAAAGCTTGAGAACAAGCAAAACTATAGTCAATCAGGGTGCATTTTTGAATTGCCTGGCGAAGAATATTGAATGACATGCCAAAAGAACATACAAATCTGTCTTAGAAGTAGAGCTGGGATGCTTCTTAGAGGCAAGGACGGTGAGACTTTGTCTCATGTACTTTGGACATGTTGTCAGAAGAGACCAGTCCCTGGAGAAGGACACCATGCTTGGTAGAGGGACAGCGGAAAAAAGAGGAAGGCGCTCGGTAAGATGGTTTGATGGCGTAGTGGCTCTGGCGGTCTCAGCCATAAGAACACTTGTCTGGACGGCTCAGGACTGGCGGTGCTTTTCTCTGCTGTCCATAGAGTGGGTCCCTGTGAGCTGGAGCTGACTCGGGCACCTAACAACCACACGCACACTTTTAAAAGCAAGGAAATGGTCATGTCAGGGTGATTATTGCTTTACGGGTAAGAGAGGGAGTTGTGATCTTGGAGAAGGACACATGGGTGATCTTCTGGGACACTTGGTGATTTCTTAATCTAGGGAACACATAAAAGTCAGAATCACAAAAACAATGTTTCCTCTGCGTGGGTACAACTTTGAAATGTTTCATTTTACTTGCCCTCTGCCACTGTTATTTAAAAAGCGGGGGGGATTACCTGTTTTTTGTTTGTTTGTTTTTATTATATATATATTTATTTATTTTTAAACATTTTATTAGGGGCTCATACTGTTATCGCAATCCATACACACATCAATTGTGTAAAGTGCATTTGTACATCATTCTCAAAACATTTTCTCTCCACTTAAACCCCCGACATTAGGTTCTTATTTTTCCCCTCCCTCTCCGCTCCCCCCTCTCTCATGAGCCCTTGATACCTGTTTTGTTTTTTAGTGGGAAAAAAAAATGTTAAAAAAAACCTTTTCTTCCTAAATTTTGCTTTTAAGTTATAGAAGGAATACATACATTAGACCAGTTTTTGAAGTACGTTTGCCACTTTAGTACCTACGTGCTGTAAATGTCAATGTAAACAATCCTTTGCTTATTATTCTGAAAACTTCCTTGCATGTTTTCAGCCCCTTTCCCTTAACCTCCTCTCCCGCCAATTTTAAAATAGTTATTTTTTTATAGCCTTCTCTCTCCCTTATGTTCTTTCCACGCTATACAGAGTATTTTGTGTTCTGGTCCCAAACCAGAAGGCAGATCTCTCCAGCCCCTCCGACCCATCTTCTAGCAGAGACAGATTGCCAGAGTCCTCTGTGTAATTTTACAGAGTTAGCTGTCAGAGCCAAGGGATATAATTTCTTACCATAGCATAGGGGCAAACTTTGTGTTTTATGTCCTGTCGATGACATGTTTCTGGATAACAGCAGTAATCATCCCATCTGTCTTCTAGGCAGAGGAGAGGCAGAGAGAGGAGCAGCTTGTCTCGTTTGACAGGTAAAGGCATTACTCATCACCTTGCTGGAGAACTGAGAGGAGATTTTGTATCTATACTTGTTTTTAAATTTTAACAATGAAAAAAAGAGAGGACACAGTAAAGGGTGATTTGGGGTGAGGAATTTTATAATCCACTAAATAAAATCAAAGAGTAAAAATGATGGGCTTTTTCAACATCATTACATTGTGGAAAGAGCAATGCCTAGGTGAGTAAAAATTCCAAGAAGCCCCTAATGTCTATGTGTTGGGGGGAGAGTTTGGCTCAGGATAAGTAAAGCCATAAATCTGCAGATTAGATGGTCTAATAATTTTACATCTAATTGAGCTTTAGAGTACTAGGGCCTTTGTTCTCATTGTTAAAGGAGAGGCAACTTACTCTTTTAGGCGTATTCAGAGGAAAAGCAAACAGTCCGAGTACCTCAAGGCATGGGTACTCTGTGTTGGTCAGTTTTATGTCTCTCGTATCTGGAAGGCATTCTTTAAGTTCTGTAGAGTTAAGTATGATTTATACACAGTTGGAAAAATGGTTATTACCAGATTTTCAAAGTGTTTGCATCTAGTGCAGCGGTTCTCAGCCTGGGGGTCGTGAGCCCTTTGGGGGGTGTGTGTGTGTGTCGAACGACCCTTTCACAGGGGTCTCCCAATTCATAACAGTAGCAAAATGACAGTTATGAAGTAGCAATGAAAATAATTTTATGGTTGGGGGGGTCACCACAACATGAGGAACTGTATTAAGGGGTCACAGCATGAGGAAGGTTGAGAACCACTGATAATGTAATATGTAATATGCTTTTCTTTTAAACGTAGTATTTGAAAAAGAAGTTACAACACCCCACTAATTTTTCCCTTTTGTTGTTGTTACGTGTTTTGACAGTTTGTTGTTGTTATTGTTGTTAAGAGGCATAATAGCTTCACAAGTAAATACCTGAAAGCCAGGAGTTACGGTCTGGACTAATTAGTGAAGCACTGAAAGGTCATTAGCTTGGTTTGCTTCACCCATGTGGTAACAGAATACCAACAGAAGAGCCTAGGCTGTGCACACTTCATTGACTGCCAACCCTTGGCTGCCTTCTTGTTTGACAAGCTCTAGCACAGATATAGAGTGGGAACAACATTTCTTATGACCCTGACCAATCTCAGTCTTGCCATGGAAGCCAAAGCTTTGACTTCTGGGTGTTATCAACTGTTGGCCTCTGATCTGAATGATCTAAAGAACATAGCCCTCAAGGATTGTGTATTGATGCCATAGGAGTAGGAGGCCTGTTTGGCAAGTTTGAATGGCAGTAGAGATATTGTAGACACATTTTGTGCACATCTTGGAGAAGAAGAATTAAGTAGTGTGCTTGTTTCCCTGCAGCCATGAGGATTGGAACCAGATGCAAATCCAGGAAGATGATGCCATTACCGAGCAGGATCTGGAACTTATCAAAGAGCGGGAAACTGCAATTCGCCAGTTGGAGGTAAGGTCCAGCTCATGTTTTTGCTTGACTTTGTGGGTCTGGACTCGCTGTGTCCACCTCTATTTTCTCTTACTGATTATGGGAAAGCATAAAATAGATTATTTTATGATTTACTTATATTCTGTGTTATCATGCTGTCTTTGAACTTCTGTTATGATGGTTTTGTTCATGGTGTTTTTCCTTAATCTTTTCCTGAATCACTACATATCATTTGGTCTTCACTGGAAATATACATGCAGAACAGAGCAAGGCTAATGAATATTTAATTGATCATTAGGACTGTCCCCAAATCTTAACACAATGTAGGTTAGGATGTGCTCTACAAAGTGCTCATTTGCTTAGTCTCCAGAGTCCAGAAAAAAGGCAGGCCAAAAAGGTTTGGTTCATTTTTGTGTAAAGTCAGTCCCAAGTTGTGCGTGACACTTCGAGGTGTCAGAAATAGGACTATTGAATTGCGTGGGGCCCAGGGGTCTTTAAGCCTCTCATCTTTGCTCAATTACCAGTAAATATCCTCAAACCTGACTAGTTTCCTCCTCTTTTGAGTAGAAGAGTGCTATCCCTAGGGGAGGAAGGGGGTTGGGGGAGGAAAGTAGAGAAAAGAGTTCTCTCTTGACTAACTACCATCGTCATAAATCTGCCCATCCCGGTTTCCCTACACAGATAGACATAAAACAAGGGCATACAACAAACAAGAACCCAGCAATAATGACCATATATGTCAGAGAAAGACCTCAGCCTAAGGGAAAGCAGAGAATATTAAAACTTTAGAACAAATTCACATTGGGTCCAGAGGTAGTCATATCTTTCGTTTCCTATTTTTTTATGTACTACTAGTCTGTGACTTGGTTCTTTTACATAGAAATACTATTAAAGCAGCGGCTCGAGTCAGACAAAAGAACCCTGGTTGTGCAGTGGTTCAGAGCTCAGATGCTTACCCCAAAGTCAGCAGTTCAGTAAACTGAAGGAAAGAATGGTACTAATACCTACATCTTAAACACCCGAGGCGTAGAACACTATGGATGGTCTTGAAAGCCCCACATCCATTTGCTGCAGGGTCCCTGTGTGGATTGAGTCCCTGGTGAAGCCTCACAGTCCATAGACTAGGAGTGTGAACAGCCTTAATATCACACAAAGAGCACTGTAAACTGGTTCTTAGCAGCTGCACTTAGACTGGAATGTACCACCTTGTCAGTAGATCTTCCTTTGCACCACTTTCAACTTACTCTAAATTTTTAGTATACTCTGCTTTTTCTTAGATTGAGGTCTCTCTGTTTTATACGACCATTGTTGCTAGGTCTTTTGTTTTTGCCGTTGCTTTGTGCGTTTATCTGTAGAGGGAAGTCAGGATGGGTAGATTTTTTTCCCCAATCATTTTATTAGGGGCTCATACAACTCATCACAATCCATGCATACATATATCAATTGTGTAAAGCACATTTGTACATTCACTGCCCTCGTCATTCTCAAAACATTTGCTCTCCACCTAAGCCCCTGGCATCAGCTCCTCTTTTTTCCCCTCTCTTCCTGCTCCCCTCTCCCTCATGAACCCTCGATAATTTATAAATTATATTTTGTCATATCTTGCCCTGTCCGATGTCTCCCTTTACCCACTTTTTTTTCTGTTGTCCGACCCCCAGGGAGGAGGTTATGAAGACAGTAACAGAAATAAGTCAGCTGGGGTCATGGGAGAGAAAAGGTGGGGGAAGTGGGGAGTCATCACCAGTGGGTACAAGAAGAAAGAGCAAATTCCAAAGTGGATTGTGGTGATGATTGTACTACCCTGCTCAATACGATAGGACTACTGAATTGCATGATGTGTTAATTATAGCTCAGTAAAACTAATTTTTTAACAAGTCAGAAGTTAAAACTGACTAGCAGCAGATTCTGGCAGTTTCCACTGTATTGTACAGGCGCTGTGCTTCAGAATCACCACAAAGGCACACAGTCACCACCACCAAGACATATGGAACTTAGGAAGGATCGATGTCACAATCAGTAGAATTAAGTTCAAATGTCTTAGTCTAAGCTTGCCTTTCATCTTTAGTTGTTTCCCATTTCTAACATCCAAACCCAGTGTTATAGCTGGACTACTGGTCTTTAACTCAGTTGGCTATTTCTATGGCCTCTCCTTTGTTTCAAGACACAGTTCAGCCCCACCCTATCTGCAAGCTTTCCGTGCTAAGTCCTGACTGGGAGGTTCTTGCGTCCTAGGCCCCGTTTAGTTACATAGACTTCTGCGACGCAGTGCTCTGTAATGGCGAGCTTTAGAGAAACAACCATCCTGGAGACTTCATTTCTTACTTGCACACTATGTGACCAGACAAGTTATTTAACCTCTCTGGGCCTCATTATCGTTAAGGACACAGCCTAGAGTTACTGAATGATTGAGTCAGATCTCAAGGAGGCATAGCATAGGTCTCCCCACTCGCTGAAAGCAGAATGTCCCTGTGCACTTACAGCAGCAGATTGCCACATCTTTCTCTTACAGCCTTCTGGTGGGTTTTACTACGGACTTTTTGGTTAGCAGCCAAGCACTTCACTATTGCATCACTAAGGCTTCTTCAGTTAAATGATAGTAATAAATTAAATCCGTTTTCATTTCTAGCAAGTTGATTCAGACCCTGTGAGACAGGGTAGACCTGTCCCAAAGTGTTTCTAAGGCTGTAGTTCTTTAGAAGCGAAGTGTTATGTCTTCCCTCCACAAAGTGGGTGAATTCAGTTCTCCAAGGTGTTGGTTAGCAGCCAAGTGGGTAACCACTGCCCCACCAGGGTTCCTTAATAGTGCAATAATAGCGAACACAGTATTGTGTGCTTCCTGCACAGTTACAAATGCTTTACAGGTGTTAATTCATTGAAGACTTCTCATAACCCTATGAGATGATGGTATTTTTAGGTGCAATTGAGTCAACTCCCACCCATTGTACAAGAGTGAATGGTCATGCAGCATCCTCATAATTGTTGTTTGAGCCCATTGTCCCAGCTACTGTGTCAGTCCACCTTGTTGAAGGTCTTCCTCTTTTTGCTCTCCCTTTACTTAAACAAGCATGATGTCATATGCGAGAGACTAATTTCTCCTGATAACATATCCAGAGTACTTAGATGCAAGACGCAGGTCAGCCATCGTTGCTTTTGAGGAGCATTCTGGCTGTACTTCCAGACAGGGTTGCTTGTTCTGCTGGCAGTCTGTGGCACGTTCAGTAGTCTTTGCCAGCACCATCATTTAAAGACATCACTTCGAATTCATCGTTCAGCTTTCACAGGCATGTGCCGTAACTAAAAATACCATGGCTTAGTCAGGCACACTGTATTAGTCTAGGTACTTTAGAGAAACACATCCACAGCAACTCATATATAAGAGAGTTTTATGTAAAGCAAGTATGCATCACGAAAACATCCCAACCCAATGCTGCCCAAGCCCACAAGTCCAACATTAACCCATTTACCCAACAGCAGTCCACAAAGTCCTCCACCTCACAAAACAGAGGCAATGATGTCGACTTCAGGGGGAAAGCTGAGTCAGTAAATGAATAAGCATCTCAGCACTAGCAGGGGTCTCCACACAGCTGCTCCAGCACCCAGGGCTGCATTGGGATAGGTCCATGCAACTTCTCCTTGAGGATGTCTTGTAGGAAGTCAATCTTGCAAGCTGAAGCAGGGAGCTGCTAAGGCATCTGCACCCTGGTGCGACCATCACAAAGCAAGAGCCCCGAGCACTAGAAACTTCAAAATTGTGGTCCTGAGCCCTCAAGCCCAATGTCCCTTAATATACATAATTTTTTCTTACCTACTTTCCCTCCTTGTTTTTCTTCTCTCCACTCTCCCTTCTCCCCTTTCCCCATCTTTTGTCTCATCATAGCCTTCAAAGTCTTGTCCTTTAGTATGAAAACCTCTTTTCCCCTTAATAATAATGGTGTCACGAAATAATTCGCTTTTAGAGAGTGACTTGACTTTGCTGAGTATGATGTCCTCCAATTTTGTCCATGTCCTAAGTTGTTTGGCAGACTTGTCATTGATTTTTAAGGATGTATCGTAGTTCATTGTGTGCACGTTTGTTTATCCATTCCTTCACAGATGATTTTTTACAATTATTTTCATTGCTTTGCTATTATCAAAATCGATGGGATAAACATGGGTGTGCATATATCTTTTGTAACTAAGTAGAGAGCTTTTACTGCCCTACTGTTTTCCATAGTGGCTATACAATTCTGCAGTCCCACCAGCAATGTATGAGCATTCCATCCTCTTGAGCATTTATTATTATTATTTTTTTTAATTTTGCTAAGAGTATCGGTATAAGGTGGTATCTCATTGTTTTAATTTGTATTTTTCTAATAGCTAATGAACATGAGCATTTCTTCATATAGTTGTTGCCCATTTGGATGCAGTCTTTAGTAAATTGTCTGTTTGTGTCTTGTATCCCTTTTTGACTGGGTTATTTGCGTTTTTCTTATTAATCTGTTGTAGTTTTCACAGATTTTTGAAATTGGCCTTTTATATGATATATGATTGTCAAATTCTATTTTCCAAATCTGGGAGTTCTCTTTTTCTTTTGCTGAAGTCTTGGTATATATATAATGTATTTTTAGAAACCTAGTATATATATATATATAAAATGTATTTTTAGACACCTAGTCCTTTATAATGTTGGTGTTTCTCATTTTGTTTGGTAGTGTGTTTATGCCTTGTATTAAGGGCCTTAAGTATGTCCTTATTTTTTTATTAATGATTTTTATGGTTCCGGGGTTTGTATTTAGGTCTTTAATCCATCTTGAATTCATTTTAGACATAGTGTGAAGTATGGGTTCTATTTCATTCTTTTGCAGGTAGAGATCCAATTTTTCCAATCCCATTTATTGAAAAGGCTATCTCTTCTTCCACTTAATGTGTTTTAGTCCTTTATCAGAATTCACGTGCTTGCTTGAATTTCTGGGTTCTCTGTTTTAATCCGTTGGTCAATAGATCTGTCATTCTTATCATTACCAAGCTGTTGTGATGTCTATGGCTGTATAGTAGGTTTTGAAACTGGGAAGTGAAAGGCCTCATGCTTTGTATCTTCTTTTTCCTGCTTTGTATCATTTTTTAATAGTGTTGTATTTATCCTGGATTTCTTTTCTTTCCATATAAAGTTGTCAATTAATTTTTTCCATTTCTCTTAAGAATTGTGCTGAAACTTAAGATCAGAATTGCATTGAATTTTTAGAATGCTTTCAATAATATTGACATTTTTATATATTGTCTTCCTAGCCATTCTTACATTTATATAAGTCTCTTTTGGTTTCTTGTAGAAATCTTTTATAATTTTCTTTGTATAAATCTTTTGTTTCTCTGGTTCTATTTATTCCTAGGTATTTTATCTTTTGGGTAGTTACTGTAAATGGAATTGTTCTTTTAACTTCTTTTTCAGAGTCCTCTAATATACATGAATTACATTGGTTCTTGTATGTTAATCTTATGCCTGCTATGTTGCCAAATGTTTCATTTAGTTTCAACAATATACCATCTTTCTGATCATATACTACCTCCTTAAATGTTGACCGATTCTTTTTGATATAGTGACTGTATTCCTTCCATTTTCTATTGATGCTTCCTTTGTCACTCAAAATTTTGCTTACAGAATCCTTAAAAAAAAGAATCCTTCAATATTGCAACTCAAGACAGATTTTTTTTTTAATTTATTTTTTCTTTTTCAACATTTTATTAGGGTCTCATACAACTGTTATCCCAATCCATACACACATCAATTGTGTAAAGCGCATTTGTACATCATTCTCAAAACATTTTCTCTCCGTTGAAACCCCCGACATTAGGTCCTCATTTTTCCCCTCCCTCCCCGCTCCCCCCTCCCGCATGAGCCCTTGATAGTTTATAAATGGGTATTTTGTCATATCTTGCCCTGTCCGACGTCTCCCTTCATCCACTTTTTGGTTGTCTGTCCCCCAGGGAGGAGGTCACACATAGTTCCATGTAATCGGTTCCCTCTTTCCTACCCATTCTCCCTTTACCCTCCCTGTTTTGCCACTCATACCACTGGTCCTATAGGGCTCATCCGTCCTGGATTCCCTGTATTTTCAGTTCCTATCTGTACCAGTGTACCTCCTCTGGTCTAGCCAGTCAAGACAGATTTTTACGACACCCTCACTACCCACAACCACCCTGAGTTCTTTCAGCGAAACACGTCCCGCCCTTCTGGTTTTCTCATTCCCGGTCTTTGCACATTTCATTATAATACATACTTTGTCTTCTGGAGTTACCTTTGACATCTACTATTCATCACTTCTTCCATTTGCTTTTGCTATTCTATGTTCAACAGAAAGTTTCAGAGTTTCTTCTGATGTTTTACTTTGTTTGTTTTTACTTTCTGCCTATCTTTTCAATGACTTTTTGGTTTGATTATATATGGTATGTTTGATCTCATCGCACAATTCATCTCATCTATGGTTCTTTGTGATTAGTGCATCAAAAACTATTCAGAGATGGGCTCTAAAATCAGATGGAATATACTCAAGGCTGTACGTTAGCTCTTATGAACTTGTTTTCATTTTCTTCAGGGTCCATGTGAACTTGTATATGAGCAGTTGATTGTCTGTTCCACAGTTGAGCTTTGGCCTTAAGGTTTTCACCAGCTATTTTTTTAGCCGTGAATTGCCAGGTCCCTTCTCCTTTGCTGATCATTGTAAATACAAGTGGCATAGCTTCTAGCATCACAGCAACAGAAACCACCAGAACAGGACGACCCACTGACACGCGTGTAGTGGAATAACAGAGCCATAAGTGTACATAAGTAGAGGAAATACATTTTCCATCATGTTGCTTATTCCTTAATTGTTTTTGCATTTTTTTAGGCTGACATTTTGGATGTTAACCAGATATTTAAAGATTTGGCCGTGATGATCCATGACCAAGGTGATATGATTGGTATGTATTACTGATTTCTTTAACTTAAAGGTGAGTTGTATTTGTGTACAAAAACATCAGCCAGACTTCCAGCCATAAACATTTTAGGAATGCCATTTTTTTTAATTGTCAAAATAACTTTTAAGTAATTTTCTTCTGTTGTCAAATACAGACGTTGTGGTGAGACCTCCTTGAATATTCAGCTCCATTGACTAGCCTCAGATAAATCTGTAACTGTTTATGGATATAGCTGTCAATTTCCCAGCTCTCAGCTCCAGAACTTGTCCAATTTTTAAATTAGTAACTTGAAGAAAACGGATTATATTTGTAAATAATTTCAAGTTTATGAAAGTAAAAGTAGTACAAGGAACTCCTTTATAGCCTTACTCAGGTCACATTTTTATATAACATTCTACTCCATTTACTTTATTATTTGTACTCTCTTTCTATTGTACACGCATTTTTTTAATCATTGGTAATCATTTGTGAGTGAGTTTCATAGTTCACAGTCTTCTGTCCCAGTATACTTCAATGTTTATTTCCAAAGAAGTGAGCTGTTCTTTTATGAGGTTAGCACCTTTTGATGTCTTGGTTGGATACTTGGAATAGTGATGTTGAAACCAGGAATGCACAGCATCAGAAGTCTACTGACCTTTTAAACATCTCTATGTGGTAAAACACCTACTTATTCTTCTTTCTGGCAGATAGTATAGAAGCCAATGTGGAAAGCTCAGAAGTGCATGTTGAAAGAGCCACCGATCAGTTGCAGCGTGCGGCTTACTATCAGGTAAAGCCAATGAAAGAGACTTTGTGGGCCATTACAGTACAGCGACACATTCAGAACAGCTGCAGTGCTTGCTTATGCTTAAGCTGGAGGCCTGTAGTCCAGAAAAATAGTCCTCGTTCCATTTTTAGCAGTTTTCTTTGCTTAGAGATCAAGCCTTAAATACACAGAAGCCCACCTAGCTAGCTAACTACAAAACTAATCCCATAGATCTGATAAGGCAAATTAGATAGCCTAAAATGGTGATTGTTATTTCAACTAGTATACTAAAAGGTACATTAAAATAGGGCTTTATAGATAATTTTGGTTTACTGTTGTCACATGGGCCCTGGTGGTATGGTGGGTATGCATTGGGCTGCAATCTGTAAGGGCAGCAGTTTGAAACCACAAGCCACTTATCAGGAGAAAGACCAAGCTTTCTACTCTTGTAAAGAGTTACAGCCTTGGAAACCCTACTCTGTACTGTGAGGACATTGTGGGTCAGCATGGAGGTGATGGCATTGAGTGAGTGAGTGTAGAATCATCTTGTTCTTTATCTACGAGTGAAAAGAGGAACCCCTCGTGTGGGAGAGCAGAAGTACCCCGTGAGGTTTTCTTGGCTGTAATCTTAATGGAGCAGATGTCCAGGCCTTTCTTTTGAGGTACTGCTGGGTGGGTTCAAACGGCTGACCTTTTGGATACTAGCCAAACACAACCCATTTGCACCTATGAAGGACCTTGGCTGTGAACAAATAGGGCTTAACCATGAAGCTGCTTCTGTAAAGTGAGCTTCTACATAGGTGCTGAAACTCAAATTTTATGACTTTCATTTGGGTCTTTATCTCAAAATATTATGAATGAGACTCTCTCCCCTCAATTTGGCTTTTTTGTTTGTTTGGTTTGGTTTCGATGATTTTTGTTTTTAATTTTAATAGTTTTATTGACATAATTCATGTACCATACAATTCAATGGTTTAAATATATTAAAGAGTATGCAATCATCACCACAATCAATTTCAAGACATTTTCTTCATTCTCATACTCATTATTAGCTTCTCATTTCCCCCCAAATTCCTCTAAGAAACATAACTGTAAGAAACTATTAATCTAGTTACTGTCATTATAGATTGACCTATCCTAGATAGGATAAAGAAAATGATAGAAAAACAAACAAAAACACAGAAAAACCTCGATCCAAAAGAAAGCAGAAAATAATAAAAACTAAAATTTTAAATGGGAAAACAAATGATAAGATGTAAAATTTTAACTTAACTGTATCTGCATTAACCTACTTTCCAATGCTCTCTGTCTGAGGGCAAGACTATTAGCATTCCTGGTCAATGGTCAGAGAGGATTCACTGGAAGCTTAATCCATGTGGGGATTCTGCAAATGGATTTTGGGGTCAAATTGGCTTTTTAAAATAGATAGCACACCTCATTCATTTCCCACGTTCCCAGGAGAATTATATTTTACCTGAAAATGTTCTTAATTTTTTTTTTTATGCTAGAGTTTCCTTTATAAACAAAAGTGATATTTCCGGGTCTAGCAATAAAGGAATACTTCTTTCTGTCTGTAACTTTGACAGTGAACATAAAATTTTATGATGACTGTAAAGCTCTTAAGAACACCTATACAAATGTACAGATAACTAATTTTGTATATAATGCCACAAGTCCTTTGAAAAATTGTGTTTGGGGATGTGGAATTAAAACTTACACTCCTGCTAGCACTAGTGAGCATTGAGATTTTGCATATCCATGTGTGGTCAAGTTAATTTTGAATTAGGAGGCAGATTTATGAAGCATTCCTGGAATCTTAGCTATAACAACCAACCAAATAACAGCCTACATTGTTTCATGAATTACCTTCTTTACATATTTCTTTCCTCAGAAAAAATCTCGCAAGAAGATGTGTATCCTGGTGCTTGTTCTGTCGGTGGTTATTTTAATCTTGGGACTTATTATCTGGCTAGTTTCTAAATGAAGTGATTGCTCCAGAGCCGCCTTCTGCTGAGCTGTTTTCAAGAGCAAGGGTTTGGTGTGGAGTCTTGCCAGAATGAACTGATCACAAGAAGAGAGCAAACACCAGAACGTCCTGTAATAATTTAGTTAGAAACTAACTACTAATTAGTCCTTGGAATTAGTGACCTACAGAGACAGTATTTATCAGTTTATGTATGAATTTCATTGATTACTTAAATTAGGAGTTATGTGGATTTTGCTTTCTCTTGTATTTCGATTGCCCTTTCTCCCAAGTATATACTGAAGATTCCATTCTCGACGCTCTCATTTTCACAGATGACACTACAGTCTTGTAATAGTATCTTTTGATGTGTACACCAGGTTTACCTGTCTACTAGCAACCCATAGAGAATTACTTTCTGGCACCTGCATATTGGAATCTGTTGGAAACTATAATAAGCCAGCAATTTTTATTATTTAACATTTTAATTTGAATTTCTAAGATGCTTATTTATCTGCTTTGAAAGATGTTGACACTGTATGCAACTGCAAAGTTATAAAGATGTCCATGTGATCCAGATTAAATGAGCAGGACCTATCTGAGCTGGTCAGTTGTTGGGGGAACATGTTAATAAGCTGGGTTTAAAGTTTACTTCACTAACTGTGAGGCTCCTCGAGCAGTTAGTTGGTCTTTATACACATTAAGCCATCTTGTTCAATGTGTAAAGAGGTAAATTCACTTTACTGCAGTCCACGGGATCCCTCTCCTGCCTGTAGATGAAGGGGAAACTGGACAAAGCATGCTTTTGGAAAGCAGATAGGAATTGTTTGGAGTGATTTAATATGTTTGATACTGTTGTTCACTTGTGAGCCTACTTGTGAATGATGAATGTGGCTGTCAAGGGCTGCTCCCTGCCCCATAAGGTTTGCTAGGCATTTGATGGGAGGAAGACTTTAAATGCTGGACTGAAGTTGGTGTAAAATTTAGTCTGGTGAACCTGGAAATAAAGAAAAGGTTCATTTTTGTAAATAATACTAGTCTTGAATAGTGACATTAAATTTACCCTAATTTATGAACAAGAGACTAATCTCTCCATGTATAGGAAGACACAACACGCACACAAATGTTTCAATAAAAGACCGTTGTTTGCAATGTAAATGTCATCCAATACCCCTTTTCACAGGCCCAGAGCAATTAAAGGGATCATAATTTTTTTAGGTTTTCACACAAATATGAGTCGGGCCAATGATTTCAGTTCATCCTTTAGTGCAGGAGTCTTCAAACTACGGCCCACGGGCCACATGTAGCCGCCGAGGACATTTTTCCGGCCTGCTGTGTGTTTTTGCCCCGTTTGTTTTTTTACTTCAAAATAAGATATGTGCAGTGTGCATAGGAATCTGTTCATAGTTTGTTTTTTAAACTATAGTCTGGCCCTCCAATGGGTCTGAGGGACAGTGGACTGGCCCCCTCTTTAAGAAGTCTGAGGACCCCTGCTTTAGTGAATAAAGGGTATGACTACCTGGATATATTTATATTCCTTTCTTCCATTCTGCTTAATGCTACATTCTTTTACTAAACTAATGTGAACTGCAGAGAAACAAGGACCCAAATGCCAAGTTTCTTTGCACTCTTGCACCATTCCACTCAACTAATACAAATAAACAGTTTTAAAGCTCTTGTAGTAAGTTTTTATTAGTTAATATCCTAATGAGGTAGATATGAAGTAATGTACTCTATCAGAAAAAAATGAGACCTGTAATACTCCTTGGAGATCAGCTGCTACTGAATTCTTTTCCATGCAAAACAGGATGGAGTTGTCGACATGTCACATTGGCCCTTGGAGCCACTTCAGATTTATATCCTTGGTCCTGCCATCATAGGCCATACATCTGAACTTGGATCCATCATTTGTAACACTCCAGGAAAGAAAGCCAGCATTGTGGAGACTGCTTTGAATCTGGGTGAAATAAAGTGACTACGGTTCTATTCTATAATACTGTTTAATCCAAATGGTAATGGTAATAGTAGTTATCGGTAACAAAGATGAACTTGCCCTAGAATTTGTGGTAGTTGCTAAAGAAATTGTACATTATAGGTTCCCAAACTTATTTGGCTGACCGCCCCGTACTGGGGGAAAAAAATTAGCAACCCTCTGGCAATTAAAACTTTTTGTACTATAGCCCATAATCCAGCATAAAGTGTAGATATCTGCTTTTGTAGCCACCCCCAACCCCCACCCGGATCATTCCAGCACTCCCCAGTGGGTTTGATATCATCCATTTTGGGAAACTGTGCTAGATGGTCCTAAAAAATGTATTCATAGAATCATCCTAATCCATGCTTTGATTATTGTTGGAACAACATGGTCCAGGAAAATGGTTCTTTTTCCCTTCATTTAAAAAAAACTGAATGATGTGAAGCTTACAGGTCATTAGTTTTACATCCAACAATGTATGTATCTTTTGTGTCAGCTCATCACTTGCAGTCCCTCCAATGTACCATCACCTGTTCCACTTCCTGGGTTTCCTTTTCTCCTCCCCTCCTAACCCTCTGAATTGTGCAGGACAGTGGTTCTGAACATTAGCTTCACACTGCAACCATGCAGATACCTGTGCGCTCCTGCCCCAGGATTGTCCATTAGTCTGGAGCATCGTCTGCGTGTTTTTTTGTTGCTAGACACAGCCCAGTTGGTTCTGACTGATAGTAACTGTACAGCAGAACAAAACACTGCACCATCCACACAATTGTTCTTGTGTTTGAGCCCATTGTTGCAGCCATTGTTCCAATCCATCATGTCAAGGGCCTTCCTCTTCTGCGTCTCTCCTCCTTCAAGCATGATGTCCTTTTCCAGGGACTGTTCTCCTGGTAACATGTCCAAAGTACCTGAGACTAGATCTTGCCATCCTTGCTTCTAAGGAGCATTTTGGCTGTTCTTTTGGCAGTCCATGGTACATTGAATGTTGTTTGCCAACACCATAACTCAAATGCAATGATTCTTTTTCAGTTTCCTTATTCAAGGTCCAACATATGAAGAAATTGAAAAAACCATTATTTGGGCCAGGCACACCTTAGTCCTCAAAGTAACCTCCTTGCTTTTTAACACTTTAAAGACGTCATGTGCAGCAGAGTTGCCCGGTACAATGTGTCATTTTATCTCTTGAATCTTGCTTCCATGAGCATTGATTGTGGATCTAAGCAAAATGAAGCCCTTGACAACTTTCATCTTTTCTCTATCATGTGATCTATTGGTCCAGTTGTCAGGAAGATTTTTTTCTTCTTGGCATTGAGTTCTATAATGAAGGCCTTAATCCTTGATCTTTATCAGCATGTGCTTCAAGTCCCCCCTTTCAGCAAGCTAGGTCGTGTCACTACATAGGTCAGATAGTTAATAACCCTCCAATTCTGCTGCCACATTCTCCTTTATGTAATCCAGTTTCTCTGGTTAATTTGCTCAGCATTCTGATTGACTAAGTACGGAGAGAGGATATAACTGACTTTGACCTTCCTTGTAGCATTCCCTTGTCTGTTTACCCAACTGCCTCTTGATTGTTCTGCATGAGCACAATGTAGGGGTCTGAGTTTCCCATTCTTCTCAAGGCTGTCCATCGTCTGTTGTGGTCCAGACATCCGAATGCCTTTGCATACGTCAGGAAAGCACAAACATCTTTCTGGTATTCTCTGCTTTGATCCAAGATCTATCCGACAGCAGTGGTATCCCTTGTTCCGCATCCTCATCTGAATCCGGCCTCAATCTCTGGGGGCTCCTTGTCAAGGGACTGCTGCAACCCTTGTTGATGATCGCCAGCAACATTGTACTTGCGTGTGTTAATGCTATTCTTCTATAAATGTGCGTATCCTGTTGGGTCACCTTTCTTTGCAACGGGTACAACGACAGATCTTTAACAGTCAGTTGGCCAGGTGGCTGTCTTCCAAAATTCTTGGTGTAGATGACAAAGTGCTTCCCGTGTTTCATCAGCTTGTTGAAATATTTCAGTTGGCATTCCATCAATTCTTGGAGGCTTGTTTTTGATAATACCTTCAGTGCAGCTTGGACTTCTTCCTTCAGTACCAGTGTTCTTGATCATAAACTGCTACTTCTTATGGTTGGAAGTCGACTTTTGAGTTCCTTTTTGTACAGTGAGCCTTTTAAAAGTTCCAGATTATTTTTAATGTGCAACCATATTTAAGAACCTGTGGCTTGAAGTTCAAAAGCTAAGTGGGTGTAGAAGACTTGGCAACTCTTAGCTTGCTGTAGGGCTTTGAACAGGCCACTTCACCCACAGGCCTCAGGTTTTCTCAGTAAGTATCTCTTCCAGCTCGTGAATTCTCTGATTATAAGGATCACATGGGTTTAGTGTGACTGTACAAATTGTACGTTCACTTCTGTATTCCTGTCCTTGAATCTCCTTGTCTCTTTCCATTGTGGAACGTTCTAGGAGCATTGAACAAAGGTAGCATTCTCTCTTCAAATGAACTAAAACTCTAGTACTGGAGAGCATGAAGTAGAACTGTCCTGCTGACCACTTCATCTGGAAATGTTCCAGAACAAGAGCTTGCTGGACCCCAGTCCCATGCTCTTAGGAGGTGGGGAAGGGACCCTGGCAACAACACTCAATTTAGTTCTCAAGCTGAACTTAAAACTGCTGTGTGCCATTGGTGAGGAAGGTCAAATGAAACTACCATGCAGTCCATGCAAAGTTAGACATCCCAAGACTTTCCCATCCGGCTCTCTTGCTATTCAGAGGCTGTCCTCAGTCATGGGAGGAAATTTCTCTTTGTGGTCACGAAATGCAGCCCAGGACCCAACTTGAATTTCAGTCCATCGTGTTCCCTTAGGGGAGTGGTTCTCAACCTGTGGGTTGCGACACCTTTGGGGTTGAATGACCCTTTCACAGGGGTGACCCAATTCATAACTATAGCAAGATTATAGTTATGAAGTAGCAACGAAAGTAATTTTATGGTTTGAGGGGTCACCACATGATGAAGAACTGTATTGAAGGGTTGCAGCATTAGGAAGGTTGAGAACCACTGCCTTAGGGCTAGGAAGCTAGGACTTACCACTTTTCCAAGCCTGTTTAGTATACCCTCATATTTCAAAGGATTTTTATTACCGCTTTCCAGATCTGCACAATACAACTACTTTAGCATTTCTATTTAACTAGGAAATGGTTTGATTCCCAACCCCTGATCCTACTTTTAGGCCAACTGAGTGGTTAAGATGTTACCAAAATGAAATTTGATTAATATAGCACTTAAAAAAAACCAAAAAAATAATGTAGCACTTTTTGAAAAAGGGCAAGAAAATTTTCAATGCTGGACTGTGATTCAAGACCAAGTTCTTACTAGTCCATAGAGAAATATGAAAAATTATATAGTGGCAGAGTCTGACTTTATAGTCTTCCAAGTTTTAAAAGAAGACATTTTAGGAATATGAAAGTGAAAAGGTTGCAACGTTAGGTGCAACATGTTTTTTGTGTTTTTTTTCATTATTGGTACTCATTTATTTTTTTAAATCGTTTTATTAGGGGCTCATACAACTCATCACAATCCATACATACATCAATTGTGTAAAGTGCATTTGTACATTCATTGCCCTCGTCATTCTCAAAACATTTCCTCTCCACTTAAGC